TGGGGATCAAACAAGAACTAAATAAGTTTTCAACAATTGTAATGAGCAATTCCCGTTGCATAAATATGAATGGAATGAATATATAATTATTGTGGAGTTTTAAATCAAATTGAATAATTGGACATTGAAATTGGGTTGGAATTGAGATTGTTAGGCTGAAATTGATATTTGAGATTAATTTGAGCATAACGCTCATCTTTAAATTTGGGTTGGGGGGCAGGCAGAGCCTATAGCATCAGGCTCTTCCCCCTCCAATAGTAAAATGTCAGATGTGGTAATTACATCAAACCAGAATTTTTAAGATGTAATTTCAAAAATCAGATATAAAGTTTATTTATACAAAAATTAGATATTAAATCAAATATTTAATATTATTAATTACCCCAAAATTCATCACAATCCCTAATTATTCTCCCCTCTCTCTCTCTCTTTCTCTCTCCCCTTACCCATCACTGTGTCGACCTGCTCCTCTCTCGAAAACGTCGTCGCCGCAGCCGCCAGTGTGAAGCACCACCACCGTCATCGCGTTGCGAAGACACCACCACCGTCGTCGCAATAGGTGCGAAGACACCACCACCACTGCGCTTAAGATGCCACCATCAAGCGGCGTCGTTCTGAAGCAACAGCGCCGCTGCGAAAACCCTGTTGCAGCCCATCACTCCGTAGTACCGCATCTCGATCTGCGCAACGCTGAGGCTACATTGACCGGCAATGTCAAACCAATATTGTGGGTTGTGATTTGTGATTTGTAGTTTGTGGTGAGCGTCGATAATGTTTGTAGTTTGTGATTTCCAGCGATGAACGTCACTGCTGTGGTTTTTCGGCTAGGTTGTGTTGGTGCGGGTGGATCTGTTGTGGTCTTTTTTTTGGGCTGTATTTGAGCATCGGGTGTTTTTTTTTTTATTTGGGTGATGGTGGTGCATTCTGGTTGTTGGTGAGGTGGTGTGATGATGGATCTAACACTGTTGACGGTGTTAGTGGTGGATCTAGTGGTTGCGTTGATTTTTGTTGGATTTAGTGGTGGTAGATCTAGCGGTGACGTGATAGTTTTGAGAATGGTGGTCGAGAAGTGGTGGTGGTGGTTCTGGCAGAGACGGCGGAGGCGATGGTGCTATTGGAGGGAGTGGTGAGATGGTGGTCACAAGTGTTGGTTGGAGTCACAAATGAGTTTGGTTTATTGTGACCATTAAATTGGTTAATCTGTGATCAATAAATAATATATGACTAATGAAAATGATAAAATGTGACCAAAAAATAATGTGTCACCTAAAAAACTACTAATTTGTACAAATAATTTGAAAATTTGTGACTGTCTGATAAGTTGTGACTTATAATATTTGTGATTTGTGATCTATGAAATTTTTGAATTGTGTCCGTAAAATAATTTGTGACATATAAAATTTGTGATTTGAAACCAACGAATAATATGTGACATATTAATTTGATAGATTTGTGACCGATGAACAAATTGTGACTTATAAGTTTTTTGAATTGTGATCGTAAAATAATTTGTGACATATAAAAATTGTGATTTGTGACCAATTAATAATATGTTGCCAATTATATGAAATTTGTAGTCAAATTATATGGAATTGTGACCTTAATATATTTAATTAATAAAATATATGTTTAATTAAATAATTTATAAATAAAATTTAAAAAACTCTGAAATTTGAAATTTTAAACATAATATCGTAAATTTAAAATTGATAAAACTAAACCTCTTATTTATGTAATCTTCCTCAGTAAAATATTTGAATGGGAAAATACTGCTTACCCATGCACTTTGGTACATCATATTATTAATGGACATATTTGATGCAATAAATATCCAATATAATTTTATATTAATAAAAATGACTTTCACAAGTTTAAGAACTTGAGAATAGAACAAAAGAATGCAGTAGGGGTGTAAGCGATCCGATTTTTACGATTTTTGAAACTTTTCAAACTAAACCCTTTTGACCGGTTTGAGAAAAGCTCAAACCTAAACCAAACCGTTTTGACCGATTTGAAAAAAAACTCAAACCTAAACCTAACGGTTTGGTCCGGTTTTAAACCGCCGATTTCGCGTATATTTTTTTCCTGTCTAGTATCTACTTTTATGCTATTAATTCAATATATATTTATATCTTACTAGAAATAAATCTAACACAAACTAAATATATTTACTATAAATTTAAATACCAACAAAATAAAAGTAAAATCACAATAAACTAAAGCATAGTTTTTTATTCGCCCTTTTGACGTTTTAGGATAATACTTTACGATAAAGATACAATACAAGTCCACTAAAATAAATATAAGGTCCAAAAAAACATAATAATGTCCATTTTCAACTAGCAAAAGGAATAAACGAATTAATTTTGTCACATAACTCAAGAAACATCAAATTTTGTCACAGAACTCACAGAACTAGCAAAAGGAAGAAACATTCACATACTCAAGAAGCCACAGAACTCATGATCAATTTTGTCCTTCATACACAAAAAAAATTTTAATTAGCAAATTGAAAAAAAAAAAAGAATTAAGACACGGATCCATCTAATAATGGCTTCCAAAAGACAAGCTGCAAATATTTTTTCTCCCCCATTCCACTATATATACCCACCTTCATCTTCTGCAATTTAACACGGAATTATACATATTCTCTCATATGTAAACAAATGTCTATTGCGCACCTGATAGCCCGAATTTCAACTTTAAGCCTTACTCATGATCAATAAATATGTAAACAAATTTCAACTAGAAAGTGACAAAATTTCAATTTTAAGCCTTACTCACGATCAAATAAATATGCAAGAATCTGAAATAGTCTAATAATACCGGCAAACGTACATTATCGGCGACTGGGAGGTTCGAGGTTTCGAGGGCGTTGACGATTTAGGGGAAATTAGGAGGCGCCACGGGGAGCGAGGCTGCGACCAACGAGTTGCGAGTGAGATAAATGAAAATTGGAAGATTAGGGTTGTGACTTGTGAGTATATGGATTTGAGTTGAACTGTTTAGTGCTACTTCTTTCAAATTTGGACCTTTTTTATATATAATTAGGCTTGGATGGGTCATAAATCTTAATAATTAATAGAAAATTAGAAATTGACAAAAATACCTACAAAATGACAAAATTATTCAATTTTACAAAATTGAAATTTTGGATAAATTTTCAAAAAAAATCAATTTTTTATTTTTTTATTTTATATATTTTTTGCCGGTTCGGTTTGGTTTCAAACCATAATTAAAATTCTCAAATCTAAACCAAACCGTTTTTGGTTCAAAACAATTTCGTTGACGGGTCCACGTGGCACCAAACCGTCGGTTTCGAAATTACGATTTCGGTTCGATTTTCCGATTTGATGGTTTTTGCTTACAACCCAGAATGCAGACTCTATCATCTTGTAAAAAGCAATATTTTAAAAAACGTAGAGCGTCTTTAGGCAAGAAGGCAAAATTTTAAACTTTACAAGATTAAGTGAGTTCTAGAGGCATTTTATTAGTTTTAATATTATTTCAATTTTTAATCATTTTAAAAATTATTTAATGATTAAAATAATACATATCAAACATTTAAAATGATAAAATACTATATTTAATTAAAAATTCATATAATTGGTCAATTATACAATTTTCAAGTTTTAGAAATACAAAAAACCAAACTATTTTTCATAGTTTCAAGTTTCAATTAGACAAGTCTTACTTACTAAATTTATAGGAACTTCATACATGTTTTCGAAGTTTTTCAACAAAATAATGAGTGTTGGGATCATAAATACATAATATAGATGACACTGTAACTTAAATCTTATTTAACTTTTTATTGAATGAAGTTATTTTTAATTTTTATATAGATAAAGTCTTTAAAAAGCTTGAAATTAGAGTCAAATGAAAGTTTTTTTTTTAAAAAAAAAAATTGGTTAATTAAAGTCAAATAAAATACGTTTTTAAAAAAGAAGAAAAAAAATAAATAAAACGCACCTATGAAAGACGAAAGAGAGAAACTAAGGAAGGGAAAATATTGAGCTGTTTAGGAATTAAAAAAATGCACAGGCTCAAAACGGGGCGTTTTGCCCGAGTTTCTAGCACACCGTCTAGACGATCTTTTTAGAACACTAGTAAAATTGCAATTGTGTTGAAAATGTTGAACTCAATAAATATAAAATTAGAATTTTGACGAATCATCATAAAATAAGCCCTAGTTTGGCCCAATTTTTGAAACTCATTTTTTCCTAAATTTATCTTTAATCACACATTATATGGACGCACAGCTTTTATCAACTTTTCAACCGTACATCTAATCAATTTTATCAAATTCTACTATAATCTAATTTTTAGCCAAACAAAACATATAGACTAAGTATTTCTCAATTATTGGGTTCATAACTTAACCATTAAGTTGTGGCCAGTATATTGGCATTACTTGTAGTTGCTTATTCACAAAAGCACACTACTTTTGTAAAGTCATCTATGTGCAAAATTAATCCAAAAAAGTTTGGACACAAAAGGTCCTTTAGCTTTTTAGCATTTCTTTTGGTCTTTGCTTGCTCACATGTGGTACAATCTTTGACCCCAAAGAGCACATCTATCATAAAATAACCTAACTTGCTTTTTCACATTTCTTCAAGATCATATATTTTATAATATAAAAAAGTAACTTTGATTGGAAAAAGGGTTTTCTAAGCTTTTGCATCAGTCCAGATGCAATTTCGAACATAATTGTTTACCTACCACGATGGTTTCAATCATTTAAAATAGTCGAAATATTAGAAACATGCTCAACTTATGCTATATGCTCTCGAAAAATCAACTTGTTTCAATCGTTTATAGTTTGCAAATGTTTTATTGAATATGAAGATAGTAATAGATATCGGATCAATAAGACAGTGCACAAAAAAAATTGTGCGCTGGGAGAAGGGTCGACGGCTTGTAGCTTTCCCTGTCCCTAGCTCCTTTCGGAGGTAGAGTCACGCAAACAAACTTGGATCTAGCGGCCTCAAGAGAGGAAATTATGTCGACCTCGAACGACATCTTGGGAATATCGTAGTTCTATCAATTGGTAAATGGAGTTGGCAATCCAAACGCAACCGGTTCTTAACTGGACCGATTGGACCTACCATCCATCGAGTTTTTGTCCTCCCTTTAAGATGAAAAGTTAATATTCTCTCCCTCAAAGACCTGCTAACACCTTCAGCATCATCGGGATTCAATGGGATCGTCCTCGGCTCAGGTACATAGTTGAACTCGACCGAACTATTCGCATTTACATCAAACGGTTCAGCAACCAGATAAGCCATTTTCACCCCTTGAAAGCTAAGAAGGAAACTCATGTCATAGAAACTCGAATGAGCCTTGGCATTGTCGTTCTCAGCCTTGATCACAACTGAAACTTGAACAGTCAGCAAACTTATTTGATCAAAATATAGTGTCTCAAGTTGTGCACTTGCTACGCTTATTTGAGGCACCTTAGGCCTTATGACAAGGTAACCGAAGAAAACCACAATCCCGGCTATGATCACTGCCATTGCTAATATCTCACAAATTATGGTCATGCACCATCTGATAGGATTAGTGTGTCCCCGAGGATAGGGCACTGGCTTTGGCTTTGGCTCTGGCATTTGAAGGTAGTGTTGATATTGATATTAACAAGAATTCTGATGAGAGGATATCAATACATATGATATGAATACCGGCTTTGGCGTTGGAAGAGATGATATCAACAAGAACTTCCTATATTGGAACAAAGTTTTCGTTCCAATTAGGTGCTCGGATGAATTGAGAGTGTAAGCAAATTAAAGTTGGGAAGGTAAAGAATTGTAGGGTTCTTAGGTGTAAGTGGTGGGGAAGGTTTTGGTATCTTCTTTTCCCAAGATTAAAGTGATCTTAATTAACCTTGTGTTGTATATCTAGGAATTTTAGTAAATTCATCTTGAAATGAGATGCCAAACTTGCACTTAATATGTGGTGCATAGAGACTCTTGTGTGCTAATTTAGAGAATCATTAAAATAGTTTTTTTGGAATAATGATTTTTTTTTTTTAAAAAAAATATGTGGTTAAAAACCTCCCATTTGACAATCATTATTTGGAAAAAATAATTTTTGAATAGTGATTTTTAGAAAAATGTATGACTGAAAAATAAAAGAAAAAAAATTAAGTTTGCGTGCAGAATGTTTTATTGTGTAAATGCGTAATAGAAAATGAAAATCAGTATATAGAATAAAAAGTTTTCGAATAATGGTTGTCAAACATGGGCAAAGTAGGGAACAAATTTGAGTTTACGTGCAAAATATTTATTATATTATGAGAATATGTGGTTGAAAATGATTTTGAGAAAAAAATTATTTTGGATTGTCAAACGGGCAATAATTATAATTTTGTTCACAGTTCAAAGTTTCAGCCTTGGAAAGCCTTTTATGGGAAAGATATGAGTGGGGTCTCCAACAAATTTTTAAGGTAGTGTTTAAGATCCTAAGCTTTATTTTTTAGCCTTTAGATCTCAAACTTTAAACTTTTATCAATATCTGAACTTTTCGGTTTACTGTTAAAACGTGATGGAACAATATAGGAACTTGGCAGTACTCCAAGAACTCTAGATTGTACCTTGTTGTAAAGAGAGGCTAAGTGTAAGAGGGAACAACGTCATAGAATACCTCCTTCCGCTGAGTGTACTTGTAAACAACACAATCTTTGTCCCACATTTTCCTCTCTTGAACTTTCCCTTGTTTAACAAAGCACCGCGAATGTGAGAATGTAGTTAATACTGAAAATGAAGTACAATTGAAGAAAGAGATGGGCGGACCTTCGATAGAGTCGATAAATTTTACAACGGTACAAAAACTATACTAATCCAAAGAATTAATTATATAAAGGACTTGGAACACCCAAGAGCAAATGGGACAGGCACTTGCCAAATGACTAAGCACACTATGGACATGGCATATGCAAATTTTCACGAGATAATTAGGCCTATATATTTAGGATTCCTTGAAAAACTAGGACACACACATGGGCTCAGTATATTACGTGGCGAACGACTCGGGGGGCCCACGCCTCATACGCTGACGTAGGATGACCCAACTATATGCGGACGAACCACTTCAGGTGTGAACTACCCTCCTTCCCTTATGTAGAAGACTTGGAACGACCCTGTTACACGTAGACCCCATTGTAAGAACCAGTTCTGGACGAGGTGGTGTTGAGATCTTGAGCAAATCTCGTGTCATGTGATTGACAAGACAACTCATTGTCACCGCCACTGCCGTCCTATTTGGTCAAGTCTAAAGTTCAAGTTAGGCCTTAGCTTTTAAAACTATGATTGATTGATGTACAACGACAACATGGGGCAGTCGCTCGGATGAGGCCACGTGTACTATCATCCAGTGGATGTCATTCATTTCGTCCAAGTATAAAAGCTCACACTCAATATCATTCAAAGGTGATGTAAGTTTAGACTCTCAAAATTATGTTCTTGCTTTACACACATTTTACTTTTCTACCCCAAACTGACCCACATTCTTCGCCAAACCAACCCACATTCTTACATTGGAGGCTCACATTTAAAGCTCTCTCACGTCCAGAATTACTTCCCCAACTGACTTGATCGTCGAAGTGCGCGCGGCCAACTCCATCCCTTCCGAAGAAGGCCACGTGTGACTAACAGTTTGTCCAAGTGTGCAGGAGTCCAGCTTGCGTGGACGTGAGAGAGCTTGGGATGTGTAGGCCAGATCATTGGTACCTTTTTTTGGGATCAACCGTATCGATTTGAAACTTTGGAGGCAATTTTTTATCTGTATTTCACTAAATGATAAATCATGTTTAAAAGCATCCAATTAAATTTAACGTGATATTTCTCCTTCCTAATCCGGCCTCTTTCTCCTTCATGCAAAAGCATAGCTAGCAATGGTAAACCAACAGTTTTGCGAAAATACGGTTTCTGCCCCAGCATTAAAATATTGAATCCCTTGCCTATAGACACTTCTTTTGGAAATGGGCATATCCTCATCCTAAATCGTGTACTTGCATTATCTAAAGGCGTTCAAAAGCTTAATAGTCTTGTCATGAGAATCCGGCATGAATTGATAGTTGCAACGAGTCTATGTGTTCGAGTCGTTATATTAAACATCCTATTTTTCTCACAAATTTATATTGTGTCCCACAAGATTTGAACTTAAGACCCCTATCTTATGATAGATTTAAGTTGAATTTTGGTACAAATTAATCTCTCATAAAGCAGGGGTTCTAGAGTTCGAATCTTGGGGGACAATGTAGAAATTCATGAAAGATAAGATGAACTTATGCTCTTTCAGAATGGACAATACGTATAATATAATGGTTTGAGCATAAAGGCTTCAAGCTGTTACAATAGTTACCAATTGAAAAGGCAACCCATTGGTGTAGCCTATGAACTAATGGGATGTGGATCCAGTGTGGACGTCTAAACCACAACTATTTTTCAATTGTAAGTATATGAAATTTTAGTACAAGATTATGTTATTGTAGATTGCATCACTTCTAATTATGTTATTGCATATTGTGTCTTGAACATGACACCATCGTAAATTCATAGTTGCGTAGTGCGGGGTTAGCGCTTGGCTGCAATTCATTTTATTTGAGGTTTATGTTGGTGGCAATGATGGATTCAATGAAAATTGGGCATACATTCGAGAAAGAGAAAAATTAGTCCGTGTTTGCGTTAAGGGGACGGGTAACCTGAAACCTCGTTCCGTTGTCCTCATTTCTCTCTCCAAAATGTTTTAACTTCTTTGTTGTTAGTGGTGGTGATTTTGTGATGGTGGTGTTGGATTTAGTGGTGG